GGAAAGAAGCACTGCACTCTGTATATCACCCAAAGCGCCCCCATCAGTCTCCTTCCCCACCCTCAACAAACCCTACTGCGAACCCCGGCTAAAAAAAGGGTCATCCACACACAACCGTACGCATGCATACAAAGACAAAGAAACCTTTAAAAGGGACGGTTACTTCTCAGGAGAGAGGCAATACAGCCCCCCCGTCCCTCCCCAAAGAAGGAAGAGGCTCCACTCCCACAGTTCACTTCGCTCCGCGGCTCCCTATCGCCCCCGCATAACTAACTTCCCTACACACTCACCCCCATCCCCCTCACTCTTGCCTACTTATCTTCGCCCGCGGCCGATCTAATATCGGCGGCGGACCCACCACATTTCCCCCAACATTAACCGCGAACAGCCAAGAGATTCCCCTCCCTTCTGAACCACATTCGTCCTTTCTCCACCAAACCAACCCAAGCAAGAAATAAAACCTGTCCCAATCTATTCCAACCCCCTTTAAAAAGACAACCCTCTCCCCCTCCAGGTGCAACCCATTAACAATCACAATACTCTCCACAGCACTCACCACAATACTTTACAGTTTGCCTGATTTACTTCCTGATATCAATCCGTACGCAACGGAAAAATACCCCAAGAACACTGAAGAAAAATAACTAGAGCAACGGCAAAAACAGAAAATATCAATCAACTTTACAACAAGAAAATTAAACACTTTTAATCGGATCGCTTGCAACTACGTGCCGCCTACCAAGTAATTACAACGTTAAAAACCACATAGCCGAAGCCTTAAATCTGGACAACACTTACGTTTTAAAGTACGGTAAAATCAAACGTATTATAGCTCACCTGCAAATATGGAGTCAATGACAAACAAAATGAATGGAAAAACAGCTTTCCACATGTAACAGGTGTTATGCCGAAAAACGCATCCCTGCCGAAAAACACATCACTGCCTTATAATGCATGCCGGTGATATGACGAGTTGAGCTTTTAAGGGTTTTTGGGGGGTTAGGGTTTTTTTAGGGGTTAGGGTTAGGGTTTTAGGGGTGTTTTGGGGGTTAAGGTTAGGGTTTTTTGGGGCTATTGATTAGCACTACGGTAGCCTTCTCGACAAAGTAGCTCAACTCGTTTCAGAACAGCGACCAATCGGTCATTTAGAGACAGGCATGCATTCTACGGCAGGGATGCCTTTTTCGGCATAACACCTGTAATGAATTTTTGTTAAAAACAAATGAAAAACACAAAATGCCCACAGACAACAGTAAACAATTTTAGTACGGAAACAATAGTAAACTAATAACCAAGAGCAGACCTGCTAGTCTCCAGGAGGTTTCGGGATGACAGGGTCGAAACCGAAAGTACAGTAATTCAAGGAAACATTCCGAGTACAGAACAACGTTACAAAGGACATATGAGCCAGAGCATGTGAGCGGAGCGGAGCGGTGAGAATTTCCGCTCCTCGCTCACGAGGCTGTTGGCTCCGCCCGCTCCTCCGCTCTAATTCGCACTAAGCCGCTCCGCTCAACACCGCTCCTCGCTCCACTAAAATGTTCTCCCGCTCCAGTCAAATCGCTCCACGCTCGCTCCAATTTAAAAGAGGGACAAATAATCTGCATGCCTAACAAATGTCACCTTAAACCGAAGCCTTATGTCATAAAGAAATATGAGCAACGGCAACATTGCCAGTCAGAACAGAAAATATTTATTTTTAAGCAACCTATAGGCAACAATTACGGACAGGTTTGGAAATGGCATTCCACACAAAAATAAGCTTAAAATAAAGGAATC